GGTCAGTTTTAAAAGGTCAAGACAAGCTCTTCTATCAATATTCCTCTACTGACACCCATACTCTGAATCCATTTGGAAAGCAGCTGTGCCCTTTTCAGTTCTCTCTTTGCAAAAAGATAATTTTTAGTACTTCAGTGTAACTTTGAGGTTTCCTTAATTGGCCATCTAATTTCTAGTGTGTCTTTTCAAGTTGTGCATTGAAACCACTGCAGCTTGTAACCTTCATTAGCACAGCATTAACAAAACATTGTTAATTGAATCCTCTCCTTCTGTGACAAGATGTTGAAACATTAAATCAATAGCTACATTTCACTAGATATTATGATAGATAATATAGAGAAATGGTGTTACTGATGATGAAAATCAAAATGTAATATGTTTGGATACAGCCGGCTAGAATTATAGGCTGGTCCACGACAGGCCCTTGCATATCTGAATGGAATGAGTGGATATACTGGCAATTCTGAGTGGCTGGTACTGTGCTCAACTCGGAGGCAGAGGCAAATAAAAGTATCAAAATGTAATAAAAATGTGGAAAACCTCTTCCAGCATAATAAACTTCTCTCCTGTCCATTCATAACCACAGTGTTCTCTAAATACACCACTTTTGATTTCAGTCTGATGCTTTATTTTGCAATAAATGAATGGAAATGTAGTTGTGTGCAGCATACCTAAGCAGCTAACTATGTAGACTACATTTGCTGCAGGGGTAGTTTAAAAATGTCTTTCTCTTGTCACTATTAGAATTCATTGCAGCATATATAAATTCATGCCTACCATAGTCTGTTTTACATGACGCTAAAAACTTTTAGCTGCTACCCTAGCTTCAGAAAGATTGATATCAAGTACAGTATCACTGTAATAGTATTGTGCTCTGAAAGCATTTGCTAATTAATGTCTTGTTTTGCTTTATTATTAGGTGTTGGCATAATTAGGTTTTTAATTATGGTAGGACATTAGACAGGCAGCTGAAGGCCATTTTGTCTATTACAGAGACTGTATAGAGATGTTTCAGAATGGTTTGTTCTCAAACACAAATATAGATTGATTTCTGGTTTGTGTAGCACAAATGACTAATCCCTTGGCATGAAGTGTGCTGTATTAACATTTAAGTAGTTTTAAAGATTGCACTGTGCTCTGACGCACTGGGAGTAATGCAGCAGATGATGAAAATAATCAGCCAATGTGGGTGTGAGCGTGTGCTTGCATAGGAGTGTGTTTTGACGATAAGCCATATGGCCAGAAGCACAGGAAAGTCAGTTGGCTTTCATATTAAAAGTTAAAGAGACCCAGGGGTAACCAGACTTCGGGCAAAACAACGGTTGTCGTGCAAAAGATGTTTATAGAATGCATTTAACTTGACTTGTCACATCAGGCACATCCAAAACCAAACACAAATCTTTCCATTTTAATTTCAGTAAGAAAATAACTACTCAAAAGTCAAATCCCTTATTGTCAGACTGTATACAAAGAGAAACATGTTTTACTATATAATGAAATTCTAAGGTTTACCATCCATAAAAATTTACTATACTTAAGAGTATCCTATCACCAGGCTCAAAAGCAAAGTTTCATTGCCCTCTGATTAAACGTTTCCAGCCTGTTTCACCTATGTGTTTTGCTGCACCTGTAACCACACCCAACAGTGATGTCACTGGGTCCTGCAGTACATACGTACATCACAGCAACAACGTGAGAAGATTGCCCTAGAACTGCTCCTGTGACATCCCTCCAGTGCAGCCAGTGTGTGTCAAGTGGCTTATTGCCAAAGATTGTACTCTTTTAGTTTGTGGGGATGGTTTCCAGGTTGTTCCTTTCTGCTGCAAAGACCATACGAGCTCAAGCTTCTAGAGAGATTACTGTCACACAAAAGTCTTCATTGCTTCATTTCCAAAAAAAACACATTCCCCCAACATCTTGCTTGCAGGGAATAAAGGTATTTCTCTCAGAGAGGGATACATGGCAGACAAATATGTTTAAATACTTTAATCCACACAGAGCACAATTCAATTATTTCTGCCTGTAGCTTAGATGGTAGATCTGTACTCTTTTAATTGGTGCTCTGTATAGATTAAAGCACTGGAACACATCCGAGTGTCGACTCCCATAAACTCTTTGTTTAATGTTAAATCTACATTCATTGTATCAGGCGCAGGTTGCTCGGAGATTTGTGACAAGAGCAGTAAATTGACTCCCAATTGGATCCATCAAGGCAGTTAGCCAGTCAGTTAGTTGCATTAGCTTCACCTTGCTGCACTTCTCTATTGGTTTTTGTTTCCACCAGACACAGCGGTTGGTCCGGTATAGTATTCACCTCACCCTGCTGCACAGAGGGTTTTTGTGTGGGCTAAGTAGCATCAAGCACATTACTGAGGCTGTTACCAGAGTAACCCCAGGGCATGACAAGACTTTTAAACCTCTAAAAAACTTTGAGGCCTCTGTCTTAAGTATTTTTTGTTTTTAGAGAGAAGCAAAATAGAAATGCCTTACATTTCAGAAGAAAAAAAGATCGTTTTACACTATACAATTTGCTGTTGACTGTTGTTGACGAAATAAAGACAGTTCAATATAGCAACAATTTGGCTGAGGTTATAAAACTGGGCTAGTGGTTGGAAATTTAGAAGCTAATGAGAAAAGCTCTCCCTCCTCTCAGCCACTATTGAGGTGTGAATGTGTGTAATTATGAATACCGAGCAGGTTGTTTGCCAAAAGGCGCATGCTTTCACTGGATAAATAAAGACTACTGTCATTTGAGCAGCTGGTCTTTCTAATGAAATGTCAAATTAAAGGCTGTGATACACCAACTCTGATGAGCAACAAGTTGCCTGGCGCTAGGAAACAACTCAATAGGTGTTTGACCCTCAGTCTCAGCTTTTCCAGTATGCATTTTGTCCAAACCCCGACCTGCTCGATCACCATTCTCAGTGTGCTCATGAAATCAATACTGTATTAGCTCAATATAAGCAGCTACAGAAGCTACAGCCATTAATGGGAATTAAAAAAAAAGGAGATTTGAATCTTTGGATGGGCTGGAAAAAGTTAGCCCAGAAGAATGTGATTTTTACTGGGCACCAGCATGAGGAAGGGCATGCAAACATGAATGAGAAACGGTGCTGCAGCTGAATAAGTGCTGTGGTAACCCCTTTTACAGAGACAGAGATCCCGTCATACAGGATGTTACATCTGACAGAAGACAGTGAAGTGAGCGTGTGAGGCTGAATAAAAGTTCACCACTGAGAGAGAGAGAGAGAGAGAGAGAGAGAGAGAGAGAGTTGTACCTTAGCAAGCTTGATCTTTCTCTGACGCACATGCACACACATTTTCTGTCTGTCTTTTTTCTCTCCCCACACACACATCTCACTTCTAGGTACTGCCCTGTTATCTGGAGGATTGAGTTCCATTTTTAGGCAGGCATAGTGATCAGCTGCCTGGTTGTACCACATGGCACAGACACACAATGCTGACTAACTTCCTACTGGGCCTCACACACACACACATACACACAAACCGCTACCACCAACAACAAACACGCAAGAAATACAATACAGACATGCATACAAAATACCCCGACAGCTTTCTATAACTGTGGATTGGATTTCATTCTCAGGACTCCATTAATTCCTTATGGATTCTCATATTGATTGAGGGGCCTCTGGTCTTGTTAACTCAAGTCAGCCCAGACAGCGTTTTGATTCAGTTTGTGTTGCCTGAAGGTGACTGCTACTTGTAAGAAATGGGTGAATAAAGACAAGGGGAAAAGGCAGCAGGGAGGGGAGCGAGACAGAAGAGAGGGGAGGGAGAGGGAATGTGAGAAAATGACAGACAGGGGCAGTGGAGAGGAGAAAGAGATGAAAAGGGTGAACAAGAGGGAGACAGAAGGATAGATAAAAAAGCAACAAACATATATATAAACATATATCAGAGGAAGGAAACAGTTAAAGATGTATGGGGAGGAAAAATATATAATGAATTTCCTATAGTAACTGTAACCTTTTTGATGAAAATCTGAAAATGAATCTCATCATCAATTACTAATTTCCATCTTAATGCATCAAGGAGGTTTTATTTTCACTCTGTTCTTTTTTTCATTAGCTCATTATGCTAATGAGTCGTTACATAAACCCCTCTCACTGAGTTACAACTCGGAGGTTATTTGCGTCTCTGTGTGCACGTATGTGTCAGACAAAGGGTTGGGGTCTATGTGCGTATGTTTATATGTGTACAGCGCATGCACACAAGCTCCAAGGCCACGTGTAAATATACATTTGTTTCATCGACGAATGGTTTACTTAAACGTTAATTTGCACAAATGAATTAGGCTGCAGTAATAGGAAAAGCCACAAAGGGACTAAACACAAGACAGACACACTAGAGACTGTCTTAATGTTAGTGTTACTGTGGCATAAAATAATCCTCAACACATTGCCATGTGAGGTGGTTTAGAAAGAGGACAGAGTATATTTTGTCTTCTCTGAACATTTTCTTGCCTTTCCCTCATACAAGGAAATGCCATTATCAGAGGTTCAGAAGATGTAAAGAAGGAACATGTTGTTCTTTCTTCTGTAACTCTGCTACCAGGGCGAGAATGGACTGAGAGGAGTTATTTGTCATTGTCATGCTGAGTGCCCTGCTACCTGTCTGATGGTCAACGTGTCTTGCGTTTTTATCTCTCTTTTCTCTCCTTTTTCACCCCCTTTAAGGTTTTTTCTTTGCTTCACCCCAGTTTTTCTTTTTCCTTTTTTTTTTTTCTCCCTTTCATCTCTCCCTCGGCCACCGACATTCTTTTACTTCGGTCTCTATCTGTCGTATGTGTCTCCTTACCTCTCTATTATACACATTTATATTTTTTCTACCATTGCTCCATTGCTTACATTCTCGACCTTTTTATTATATACACAGCACTAAAACGTATTCCTGGGTGGAGTCCCCTACCCTGATTGTGACTTCAAATTGACCTTTCCCCATTCCCCTCTAACCCTTTCATCGTCTTCTTTTCTCAGGTTTAGAAAAAGTTGGTCGCGATTCCAGTTACGAACAAGAGGGGAAGGTTCAGTTTGTGATGGATGCGGTGTACGCCATGGCCCACGCCCTGCACCGCATGCACCGGGAGCTCTGCTACGGATACCCTGGCCTCTGCCCGCGCATGGCCAACATCGACGGCAAAGAGCTGCTCAGCCACATTCGTGCAGTCAACTTCAATGGTGAGTCATACACTGGTTTTTGGTGGATAGATTCCAACACCTCATTCAGTCATGAAAGGTACTGTGGACACATGAGAACACCACTGTATGCATACACACACACAGTTAACATGTCCTGAAGGAAAATCTTCTTCCCAGTATCTTACACCAGTCATCAGTCCTTCCACACTAATGGAGAATACAGTAGTGAACAATTAGGCTGTAAAATGTCAGCTTATTCCTTCAGAACAACAGTTTGTTTCAGTTTAAAAATTACAAATTAAAGCCTTCAAATGCTTAGACACTATACAGTAATCCTGCAGTGTTGACTAATTCAGTTCATACTTTAACAATGCTAAGCCCATCTCCTTGTCTAATTTGTCTTATCCTGATAACAAAAACATGTCATGTTGCGTTTCACCTTCATAATTAACCTAAGCTCACTGCTTTCCCCAAACACATTATCTGCTTATATTTTGTTTTTTTTTTCTTGATGGTTATTTGGTCTTGTATCACTTTGAACCTGTAGAGCTCAATCTTTCATTTCCCCTCTCTCTCCATGACTTCCTCCACCGCTGACAAATTTAAGTGGGTGAAAAACATTTACTCATTTCCTTCTAAATAATATCAGACACCTCATTTGAATATTCTCTTATTAATCCACCCACCCCCACCCCCATGTGCCTGTACCTGCTTTTCATTTCCCGTGTTCCCCTGTCAAGTATTGTGTGGAATACATATGGGTTAGATAGTAAGAAAGCAAGAGATAGAGGAAGGCTGTCTTATTGTGAGGATTACAGGAATGTTTGTCTGATTTTAGGTCCGATTGAAATTGCACAAATGTGTCTATGCGGGAATGTGTGCAATATACGTGTCAGTGTTTCCTCTGCTATCTCTGTCTGTCAGCGCTCGAAGTGTCAGAAACCAATTCACGGGCAGCCACTGATTGCTCTTTCATACTGCAACAGCAGGTTTGTGCTCGGGTGTGTTTCTCTGTTATTGCTGGCCTAGAGGGCAGAAATCATCCCATAACCACAAGGTCACAAACTTTACACCCCAATGAATCACTGAATCTCTCTCACTTACTGAAAGTTGCCCTACACAAAATGTACCGCAACAGTCCCTGACAGTATTTTGAGAGAACATAAAAAACTAGATTAGATAGATTTAAAATGATATGGGAAGAGTGGTTTGATGTTGAATTTATCAAAGAGGCGTCTGCCATTGCAAATGTTTCATATGCCCATGACACATTCAGATGGCTCTACAGAAAGTTTGAGATAAAAGTATCACCTACAATAAAGACCTGATTTTTGTAATGCCTGTGTAGCTGCTTGCCATTTTTAGTGTCTGTCTGCATCACATATCCACAAATTCCACTTCTCAATAGATGTATAATTTACTGATCAAAGACATGAAAGTCCTAAAATAACTAAGGTATGAATAAATAATAGTACTGTCCCCACACAACTCCCCTCCAGTATCTGAGAATAACTGAAGAATATATGAGTTAGAGGCATGAATGTGTCACATTGGCAGACCATTTAAATAAAACAAATCAAGTTTGCCTAAATATGGAAAAAAAAAATTGAAACAGAAGATGCAAGAGTGAAGAGAAGGAGGCAATATATTTGCCAGTCTGCGCAGCATGGGATGGTGAGAATTAAACACAAAGTAGTCCGAAAATATGCTGCTTCATCACACCAATATGTAGTATTTTATTCCCATATTTCCTCTTCACTCATGTCTTACTAAAATATTGACTGTTTCTGGTTCATGCTAATCGAACATCAGTTACAAGTATGTCTGGAAACACATATTTCTACAGAATATGAATCTGTTCATGTCTACGAACAAGATTTTGTAATCACATGGGTCTCTTCTGGATCTTTTCCCATATGGTTATTCGGCTTGTCTTTGATTTCTGGAAAAGCTAAAAAAAGTTGTGTCTTTGAGGATTTTTTTTTTGTACATATTATGGTTCAATTATATTTCTTCCAGCTCCCCAAAAAATAGTTTTGTTCATTTCACAAGTTTATTTGTTTGCATAGCGATAAAACACAGATGTGAAATATTACTGATAAAGTCCACAAAGAGCAAATTTTGCTGCAGAAAAATAGCAGGGGGTTTAATACCTACATCATAAATTAATTTTTCACTACAGAGCTTTGGCATGATGATTTACAGCAAAGAATAAAAAGGAACCTAGGTGGCTTGGCAAATTTAAGCTATCATTAAACAATCTTGTACATTATTGGCAACTATACGTCATCTTTCTAATGGCAGATATCAAAGTTCAGATGAAATACCTTCTAAAGTCTTCTAAGAAACCTTATCTTAGGTACGTTTTCCTATTTCACAATATTCCATTTGATGTTTTAAAGGCCTCTGTGCTGTATTTGTCTAGGGGCAGAAGAAGAGTGATGAGGTTTGTTGGGTGGCTCTTTGTTGTTGTAGTTACTCTTATCTAAATTGTTTACATTGACAGAAACCTGCAAGATTTAAAGCTTTTAAGCCAGCTACTTTGTGTGTGTTTATGTGTAAATGCCGGGGTATATTTGTGTTTCCCAATTAAAAGTAGTTTTGTTATCGATCCGTGTAGAGTTGACGTGACATTGATAACGCTAAAGAAGAAAAGGGGGCAAAGATAGAGGCAGCTCTGTGTGTGTGTTTGTGGCACATAAAGGGAGAGAAAAGGCTAAAGTTGCTGGAGCATGGACTCTCTTCCCTCTGCCCTGTCTGGATCCATACCAATTCACCTTTGGAGCAGCTGCATGAGGGAACAAGACAGAGTTGGAGGGAGGGGGATGATTTCAAGTTGTTACAGCAGTGATTGTTCTCCTGTTGGATCTCTACCAAGGCAACTTAACTTACAGAGTGAAGCTGAACAGACAAGAGTGGCAGGAAAGGAAGAAGAGGATACAAGGATATAATCAGGAAGCAACTGGACTTTCTCTTCTTCATGTAACATAGTTAATATTTATTGATGTAGCGCGTTGTGTAAGGTTACGAATAAGTAAACTACTAAAAAAGGATCATTTGTAATTAGGGTGGCCTCCATACAGTGTTTGTGTTGAATAAATCCAGAGGTTTTTGCATTTATCGTTGGAATATTTTACAGAAAAATATATGCAATGAAAAAACATATTTGAATATTTATAATGACTTGCCATCTTCCCATTGTTGCAAACAATATATCTTCATACACAGCACATTCTTACCTATTTTCACTCACGTATTTGAATTAGCCCAGAAACACTGCACAACGACACACAAACAAGCAGAGGCTGGTGCATTGCAGAGCAAGTGGGACAAATAATAAGGAAACAAACCCTGGAGCAGCACCATGCTGTCCAGCTTTTATTTGTCTGCGACTTTATTGGCTTATCCAGCCAAACACACACATTCATGCACAGAAAAAACATGCAGAAACACACACATACCAAGGCTCTTATGAGTAATGGAATGCAAAATTTAAACAAAACAAAAATTTAACCTTCGCTAAGCCCCGTGCTCCTTAGTTATTCTTGCTACGTCTGTAAAGCTTTCTATACTCACACTGCACATACGCAGTTTACAGTGATAAGAGTAGCAGATATAACATCCAGATATGCAGTTTGAAACACTAGGTCTTTGATTCAAGTGAATTGAAGTAAACAAAAGCAGGCTTCTCATTTTCAGCTGGCCGTGGATTTTCACAGCTTAAATGAAGCTCAAATGGCCAGCAGCTACTCTGTCTGCTGAAATCAAATCTGTGCGAGAATCTGAACTGTCCAAATCTACCTAGCATTGTCACTAAAGATAGAAAGAGCTCCAGTCAACGGACTATAACATCATGCTGCAGTGGGCAGAGCAATCATCACTCAGAGATGAAAAGATGTGATACTGCCTATTGAATCAGGAATGCCTGCATGATTAATACCCACCTTCAAACAAAATCAAAATGCTCAGTATTTTTTATATTTTATAGACTTTGCTAAAACTAATCTGACATAGTTTCAAAAACAAAAACTACTTCCAGAAGTCCAAAAAATAAGAAACAAAATAGATATTGCCAATAGCTGAAAATGGAAAAATAAAATGAAACCCTGAAAGTAAAATAGAAAGTAAGGGAAACTAAAACAACTGTGATACACGCACTAAACAAAACAGTTTCATCAATGTATGTGTTCAGTGTCGCTGATTACGTAGAGTTTGTTTGCTAGAATGTACCTCTCTGTTTGCTCACTTCTTGTCCAGAATAGCAACTCAGTCTGGGTGTATGCAGTATAACAGATTCAGATACTGTTCTTGCCAAACCAACACACACACACATGTGCTGCTGTCGCCCACACAGACTAATTTGGCCTATTCACATTCTCCTGGCTTTGTTAGTTGTAAGTACGTCTCAAAGTGGCTTTTCAAATAGAGCCGTAGCTAATGATTCTTGCTCTGTCTCTCTCTTTTTCTCACTTGTTGCTGTACTATCCTTTTCTGTTTCTTTATTTCCCTGTCATGTCTCTGTCCTTCAGTTTTCTGCCATGGTCTCTCTATCGTCTCCCTTTCACCACCCCTGTCTTTCTTCTTAGCTTCCTGTCAGTCTCAGTCGCTCTCGCGATCTCGTCCTCTCTCCCATCACTCCTACCTTTCTAAAAAGCATTGACTCATCAACTGAAGGCTACAGTTGGCACGTTTTCTTAAGCATTTTTATTTTTTTTCTGTTAATCTTTTTTAGGTTTTTAGTAGATTATCAAATTTTAATTTGTGGAAAGAACTTAAACCCAACCCAAATTTCTCACTGGGATTTTTAAAGCACATTACACAACCTCTTCCATGGAGACCTCATTGACCCACTTAGTGGTATATGAATTTGCAGTAGATGTTTAACACTAAGTATATTTTTATTTAAAATAACTTGGCGTACATTTTAGATCTTTTAGAGTAGCTTAGTGTTGGACAGACACTGTGCTTTGTCACAACAATGTTTACATCGTGTTGATAATTTGACAGGTTAAAGTTTAAGTCCCCCTACATACAAGTCC